GCAGTGGAGTGTGAGCAGTGGAGTGTGGGCAGTGGAGTGTGAGCAGTGGAGTGTGAGCAGTGGAGTGTGAGCAGTGGGGTGTGAGCAGTGGAGTGTGAGCCGTGGAGTGTGAGCAGTGGAGTGTGAGCAGTGGAGTGTGAGCAGTGGAGTGTGAGCAGTGGAGTGTGAGCAGTGGGGTGTGAGCAGGAAGCAGCATCCAGGAAGAGTCAGGAGAGAGACAGCATGGGAGAGGAAGGTGCAAGGAAGCTGGAGGAGCTGGCAAAGGCCCCTGGGAGCGTGGCGTGCACACTCTGCCCTGCTGGCTCCTCTAACACGAATTCTAATAGCCCTTTAATAAAAACCTGGAGCCAGGTATTGGGTAAATGCTGAAAGATCAGAGAGACACAGGAACAAGCCACTGCCACATCTTACCTCGCCAACTCCACGAATCATCTGTTTGAAGCCTCTGAATCCTCAGCCAAAAAAGCTGTCCAGCGGAGAGGGGTTTCTGCCGGAAAGGGCTTCAGCTGAAAAGCCTCTAGCCGAAAGGGGCTCCAGTTCCTGTCTCCTCATGCCTTATATACTTTCCTCCGCCTAGCCATATCTTCCTTCCTAGTGCTGGGATTGAAGGTGTGTGATTCCCAAATACTGGTAGCAGAGGCCTGAAATCGCAAGTGCTGGGATTGAAGGTGTGTGATTCCCAAGTGCTGGGATTGAAGGTGTGTGATTCCCAAGTACTTGGATTAAAGGTGTGTGATTCCCAAGTGCTGGGGTTAAAGGTGTGATTCCCAAGTACTGGGATTAAAGGTGTGTGATTCCCAAGTACTGGGATTGAAGGTGTGTGATTCCCAAGTGCTGGGATTGAAGGTGTGTGATTCCCAAGTACTGGGATTAAAGGTGTGTGATTCCCAAGTGCTGGGATTGAAGGTGTGTGCCACCACCCCATGGCAGCTATGTTTAATCTAGTGGCTTATTCTGTTTTCTGATCTTTAGGCAAATTTTATTGGGGTACACAATATATCACCACAGGCTCCAGCATGGTGGGCTATGCTGTTGCTGTTGAGGCCAGCAGGACAGATAGATGCCGCTTGTCTCAGGAGAGGGCTCAGCATGCCATTTCTGGGCCCTGGATTCACATCAGTGCATGGTGATTTCCTGAGCAGCCCTTTGGTGTTCTGTTTGGAGGTTTGGCCCAGACTGACACAATCCCAGAGCCAAGCCTTGCAGAGACACATATGGTAGACCCCAAAAGCCTAGTGGGCGTCTCTCTCTGGGTGGCTCTGGGCAGATCCAGGTGGAGAATATTCCCCTGAGCCTGATGTCTTAGCACCAAGAGACCTGAGCCTGTGAGCTGAGATGAAAGTGCTTGAAGGATTCCCCAGGTCCTGTGCTTTGTGACAGACCCCCAAGTCTCTTTTTATAAAGGTGACAGACCCCCAAGTCTCCTTTTATAAAGGTGACAGACCCCCCTAAGTTTTCTTTTATAAAGGTGGCATAATTGTTGACGAGGGCATTGTAAAAAGCCTGCTTCTGCCAGTCAACATGAAGGGGAGCAAGTGTCTGAGATCTGTATTGTTTCTGTACCTTCATGGCTGACAATATTGCCTCTCTTCTTTTTCCTCTCTTCCCCCTTCCCTTTCTCATATTCATGTATACATGTATCCAAATATATGTATATGTACAAGTATGCACATATACATGTATATATGTATATACATAGAATTTGCAACCAACTGCCAGAGCAAGGCAGGCCAGTAACATGAATGGAAGACC